TACGCTTGCCAATTTTCATGCTCACCATAGCTGGAAAACAACCTGGCTGGACAAAGCAAAATCTGAAGTTAGCAGCCTACTTATTCCCGTCCCGTGTGAGATAACCAGAGCTATGTAACCTAATAGCATTTGTGTTCTACATTTGCAAGTCAGAATTTAGCTTTTTATGAGAAAAAATTATGCGTCAAAAAATAACCCCGAAACAAGTAATTTTTGGTAAGGAAATGGCTAGTCTGAGGGCTATACAGTACTAACTTAGAGCCCAGTGCCCTTCAACACCCAGAGAGGACACACAGGTGACACAAGAATAAAACGGTCAGGTACAATAATAAAGAGAGGAAGAGATTCTGGAGACCAGGGCAGCCCTCTGAGCCCTGGGTGTTCAACTATTTTAAATTTCGCAGATGAGGGGCTGGGGATTTAGCTCAGCGGTGTAAGTGCCTGCCTGGTAATCGTGAGGTCGTGAGTTTGATCCTAGTACCACAAAAAAAAAAAAAAAAAAAATCACATATGAGATCAAGTGGCCTCTGTCTTCCTGTCAGCACAGTATAGGCCCAATTTATTAAGTCAGGCCTAAATCCTTACAGATATTTAAGGTGAAAAAATTGATTAGGACCAAAGACACTCCTTGTGAGGATAGCTAGACATCAAAGCTTAATCTTCAGCAAAAGGATACAGACTGTTACATACTCTGGGCTCATTCTCTCTCTGGGGTTTATGTGTGTGTGAGAGCTCTGCCATCAGAAGTCAAAGGTGCTAATGTTTTTCACATCTTGTATTTCTATGATCTCATTTAAAGTAGAAGTGAATAAACATACTATACTCTATGACTAGCCCAAAGAACAGCCTGTCTTTAGTGAATCTAATATCCAATTGATTCTAATTTTGCAAGTTTATTCTAGTTCAAAGCTTAACATAGCATATGCACTGTCTATTCAAAGAAAATAAAGGTAGACAAGTCGATCGAATGATTTGATCCCCTTTAAAATGGTTGGATTAGAGATAATCTAATTGGTGTTAGGAGTTCAACTACATAAAAAGCAAAAGGTATTTTACTTTTTAAAGCAAAGTTTAAAGCTTTATTCAGTTAAATGTTATTTTCATATATATATGTACATATATATATATATATATTCATAGCTCAAAGATTATAAAACTATACACTAAGCAATTTACAATGATTCTACATGTAATTCTTTCATAATAAGGAAAAGTTTGTAACTGGCCACGGTAGCTATAATCCTAGCACTCTAGGAGGCGAAAGCAGAATGATCCAAGATCAAGTCCAGCCTGGGCAACTGAGGAACCTAAAAAGATTCAAATTTTGGAAAGGGCTGGAGATGTAGCTCAGTATGAAGGCCCTGAGTTTAATCCCCAGAACTGGAAAAACAAAAAACAAACAAACAAAAATGTGTGCGTGTATGTAACAAACATTTTCTTTATAACAAATTATAAAATAAGAAATACTTAAATTAAAAACAAATAGTAATATATATAAAAATCTCACTTCATTTTATAAATGTCCCCTCTATAGCATACTGAATAAAAATTATAACATGAAAATGATATAAAAATGTGTACATGCAGTGTGACAAAATGCAGAACATAAAAAGCATTGATCAAATATGCAATGAAGTGCCAAGACTGTGAGTAAAATTTCAAAATTTCTTCCACTAGAGTGACAATGAGTGACTTTAATGTTTTTTTGTTTTGTTTTGTTTTTTGTTTTTGATTTACTTTTTGTTTCACTTCATCTGGTCAGTTTTTATATATTCATCTACTTAAAGAGAAAAACAGATGAGTTTAATTGTACAAGGTTTGGATTTGAGTGGCATCCTATCATTTAGATCATGCTTTAAATTATGCTTATTTATTATGGTTTAATCATAAGTAGGACTTTAGGGCCTATTACAAAGCATTTGCTCAGTAGGGGACTTTTGGGACCCAAGATAAAACCACCCAAATTAGCAGGGGCTTTCAAGGTGGGCAGGCAGCAGGGGGATTTCCTTTGGTGATTTTCTCCAACTGGCAATCACACTCCAGGGGTGGGCTGTGAAAGCATTCCACAGCTGTCTGATTCCTTTGCAACACTGGCATGGACTGTTTAGGCACAGATTGCTTACCCACCATCCCTAAGAGAGTTACTTGGAGATACTACCCTAATCTTGATTCTTCTGTGTCTTTATCATTCTGAACCTCTATCCAAATTAAATTCTAATTTGCCTCTACATGTAATAATTGGATCTCAGACACAGACAATAGAGGCTTTTTCATTTTTCTAACTGTGCTAGTAATCGGGCCCTTGATGATCTCCAAATAGCAATTTAATTTTTGCCCACTAATTATGCTGTCATTTAGAAATTTGTGTTTTCTATCCTGGTAGTTAATGTTTTGATTTACAATTTATCGTATTACTATACTGTAAAACTTTCAAGTCCTTTGTGATATAACTGAAGCCTATTAAAAATAAAAATTGAGGGAAACACATTTTGCAGTTCATTTCAGGTTTCTTGGATTGTTTTAATGAAAATAATTATACTATAAATTAAGGAATTATTCCAGAAACTATTTTGTCTGATTACTTGTAATTACTTGTTTCATTTATAAATGTCATCTCCTTTCTTTCAATCATAATTTTGAGACAATTGCTGTAAGAAATTTGGAAGAGAAGCAGGTTCCCTGGGACTGGCCATACTCCTCAAAAGAACAATATAAAGCCAGTAAATCCTCACGCATTATTTCACACAATGAACACAAATAAATACAGAGCAGGGCACATAGGTATTTCTATAAGACAATTTTTTGTAAATTAAATTTGATTCTTTCCTATCTTCTATAGAAATTTGTCAAGTGTTTTGCGATTTCAAACTTATTTATTTTTAAATAGTATGAGGAAAAAAACCCTCAGAAACTAGAGGAGAGAAAACTGGCTCCAAGAGGGTAGAGGTGGAGAAAAGAACCAATGCACACGAGGTGATATCTGCTTTATCCATCTAGGGACAAAAGGACTAAGGAAAGAAAAAGAAGAAATCTGAAACAGTCCCCTACTCCCAGCTCACTGTTACAAACAAAAGTTGCTTCTGTGTAACCAACAATTTGCCTTCATTTTATTCACTATGAAGGATGCACGACCAAGCAGGAAAGCCAAGAACAAGTATTTCCTAGAGACACAGAACACAATAGTGGCAAAGCTTTGCCAACCACAGAAGCCTGGTATTGGCAAATGGTAGGTTCAAGACCCACTTCTATCCAACTAAATTAAGAGTCATATTGAAAGGGGAGGGTTTACTACAATAAAGAGTGACTAGGTGATAGTCACATCTATTTCTTAAATTTTACTCATTTGCATTTATAATATTAAATAAATCTTAATTACAATACATATGACAAATTATGTTAAAATTTAATATCACACATAATAATCATAAATGTATTCATGTATGTGTGTGGGTGTGTGCATTCCTTAAAAGCCGTCCCCTTGGTGCTTTAAGCATGCATGTTAGGGTAAAGATGCCATGATACACAGGTTAAAGAAGCATGGGCCAAACTTTGATGTTGTCATTACACATCGTTAATCCTGCTGTCCAAGAACTAAGTGGTAGTTCAGAGCAAGGGACACTCTGTTAGTGGTTAGTGGAGTGCTTGTAATGAAAGAGAGCCAGAGAGCCAGAGAGATGTAAGGTTGTATAAATGTTTTCTCAATTTTGAATCTTGAGTTTTCACTAAGGAAATTTCTAAAAGAGCCCATTGATTGACATTTTTTTTAAAAAAGAAACAAAGATTCGGGTTTTGTTTTCCTATCATAAGATGGTCCCAGACAACACAGTCTTTCTCTTTCTACATTTCGCGTACTCTGGAAATCTGATGGAATTGGCAAAGCCGCCTGGGCCTTGGAAATAGCCTGGAGGCTAAGCCCAACTCTGCCGCTTCCTAGCCGTGCGACCTAAGCGCTGTGAACCCCCCACCCCGTTTCTCCCCCGTGAAATGGAGATGAGGGTGTCTTCCCCTACACGCGGCTGCTGAGAATGGGGTCACATCTGTAAACGCTTTTAGCGTTGGCCCTGCCACTCCACTGGGTCCCCATAAAACAAGAATCTCTAGATCCTCAGGACTCTGATGAAGTGCCGGGCCTGCGTCCCCGGGCCAGTCCCGTCCAGCTGGCCTTTCTCAGCGAGGACTCCGGACGGAGGCCGCCGGGCCGGGCCGCGCCGGGGCGCAGCGCTGCGCCGAGTCCCCAGCCAGGCTCCCTCCCGCCCCGCCCGGCATTCACAAGCCGCGATGGCTCGGGGCGAGCCGAGACAAAACGAGGAAAGGAAAAGGACAGAAAAACAAACACAAAACCCACGAGGCAGGGACTCGCTGCTTTAAGGAGAGGAGTTCCCGGAAGGGAAGCACAATAGGTTTTTTTTTTTTTTTTTCTGTGTTCCAAGAGGAAAAAACAAAAACAGAATCAAGGTTGCCTCAGGGAGCCTCCGCTGTAACCACCGCCTTGGGGTCACCCGATCGGAGCACCGTGCAGAACAGCAACTGCAAGGACCCCAAGACGAGGGTCTCGTCCCGCGCCCACGCCAGCGTGGCGCGCAGCCCACGCCTACCCGCCACCCCCAAGGCGCACCTCGGACCCGGCTGCGAGGACAAGTCCGGACAGGCCGCCTGCTCTCCGGCCGGGGCTCCCCCTCCGGCGACCCCGAAGTCTCCAGGCCGGCCCGACGTGGCGGCTCGCTCCCCGCCTGCTCCGAGCTCGGTGGTACCCGGAGAGCCGGCTTTCCGCGTCCGCCGGCCGCGGGGTCGCACTGCGCATCGCACCGGAGCGAAGCCGCTTCTCCGGCTCGCGCGCTGGACAGAAAGCCCGACCGGCTCGGGGCCGGTCCGCGCAGCCCCTCCGCGCCGCCCGCGCGCCCTTCCCGGGGCCCGCCGCCGCCTGGAGCGCGTCCCGCCGCGGCCGCGCGTGGCCTGCGGGAGGCCGGAGTCGCGCCCTCGCCCCGGGACCAGGGCCTCACCGTGAGCAGGAGAACCGAGGTCCGGGGCATGGTGGAGCACCGGCTGCGGGGAGAGAGCCCGGCGCGGTCCGAGTGAGTCACCCCGGGCGCTGGCACTCGCGGCCACACCTCCAGCTGCCCGGCCGCCCCGCCGGCGCACGTGCAGAGTTACTTTCAGACTCTTCGCTCTGTCCGCAGGGCGTCGTTGAAACACTTGTTGCTTTGCCGAGAGAACGGCTCGACCTCACGAAAAGCCCCGGGTCAGGAGGAAGCTTCGCGGGGAACGCCCGGGTAGGCAGCGCCCCTTTGATTCAGCGGCCGGCGGGCGCGGGGTTGGCCGGGTTGGGGAAGGAGGCAGCCTGTGCTGACCACGTGGGCATTCCCCATCCCGGGCGCTTCCGCAGAGGGCGGCTGGCTCAGTTCAGGTGGGACCCAGAGGCGGGTTACTGCCCTTCCTCCACTGGGGCCGCAGCTCAGCCGGGAAGGTTGGGCAGGGCTGGAGCTCAGCCTGGAGCTCAGAGCCCAAACGTGTTGCCTGCGTGCAGAGCCTGGGCTAGTTGCTGGGATCATTCGGAGGAAGACCTTACCTTCTCTATGCCCCTGAACTTGTGGCTGTGATGGGAAATGCTCAAGGAAGCCTCTGAAGTGTGTATGAAGTGGCAGTGATCCTAAGGAAAAGCAGGACACATTGCCATGGGATTCTCCTATTACCTTTATTTTTTTATTAGTATATATTTGTCTTACATATCGATCACGATCATCACAGGGAATTTGTATCTGTACATATGTGCATTGTATCCAAAAGAGGGAGATCCCTTCTGATAGTTTCTCAAAAAGAGAACAAAGCTACTTATGACAAATCAAAAAGCCCCAGCTGTATTAAACTGTCACAATTACTTCCTGTCCTTTGTTACTCATTATTTCCTGACTAGTTTTCTTTAAAAAGAAAAAAAAAAAAAACCGTAATTCTTAATATCCTGGTTAACTCTGCTGAAAGTCGCTATTGTTTTGGAAAATTAGGTGCTGTATCTCTTTGGATAGTTTTGCATGACTATTTCAGAAGGTGAGTCTGAGGGTTAATAACAATAAGCCTGGCCTGGCATGGTCCACAGCCTGGGGAGGCTGAGGCAAAAAGGATCACTGTGGTGTTCCAAGCCAGCTTGGGCTACAAAGTGAGTTTAAGGCTTGTAGTCACTGATTTGCTTGTCCCTGTCGCCTCTTCCAGGAGATTATTAGTAGCCATGAAGAAGAGCCCGACTGTGCCACCTTATTTGTAGCCTGGGGGTGGAAAAGACAAAAAACCAGTGGGAAAGAGAGGAAGGTATATGGTGCCCTCCACATTGTCTCCTTAAGTTTCTTGTAAATATGAAACTTGTTTAAAAGTGAAAAGTCCTTTTGAATGTTAACATATCATGAAAAGAGGGAAGAGATGGAGAGGAAAGGGGAAAAAGGAAGAGACACCGAGAGAAAGGACAGTTGGCAAAATCAGCATCTCTTAAGGATGAAATATGAGCCAGCAACTTTCACAAATAGTTTATCCTTATTTAATACTGATCATTATGGCCAGGTGAATAGTTATTAACTTTGCAAATAAAGAATCGTAGCCAAAAACAGTGGTATAAGCAACACTGACAAAATTGGCTAGCTGATGAATACCAGAGCCTGGAACTGGTATTCTTGTTCTCCAGGCTTAGCTTTCTCTACTTTCTGTCTCCTCCCATCCACACCTGAGTACCCTGCGAGTTCAGTGAAATAGGTAGAGGTGCTTTGTGTGAATGAATGTGTTTCATAATAAAATGGCTTTATAAAATTCTGGGTGAATTTAATTTAAACACATGCCTTAATGCATGGCTTCTCAGAGCTTTGGCTGTGGAGGTGGGTTGAAGGAGAGGGAACTCCACTGGGCCATCATCAGGTTGGAGTAAATCTTGGCACATTTGCTAAAAACACTGAGACGTAAACCCTTTTTCTCTCCACTGAAGTTGAAGGAGAAGAATATAGGAGATGTGGAGCTATGTGCTGGGAGATTTGCCAGGGCTGGAAGCAAAGTCCACTCAGGCTGAGAGGGCGCTACGCAAGGTGGGGCCTTGGAATGTCATCTGAGGCCTGGGCAGCTGTTATACTGAAACCGAAACCTGGAATGCCAAGTTCGCTGAATTCTCAACTTTAGATTAATCCAAATTCTTATAATTAAAAGGATCTCACTTGGTGCATCAACATAACTGATGATCAGCACTAGAAAAATACTTTTATAGGAAAATTAATTGCTACCAATTAGCTAGTTTAGTTCTAAACTCAAATGAAACCAACTTCTTAAACAGTCTTAAATGGCCAGATACCTAGGGACGGTCTTACCAAACTCATTTTTCTGTCACTAGAGGGCCTCAGAGCCCAAATCAATGAAGAAATTAAATTTTCTATCAATTAATAGCAAGATATTTAGGTTCTTGGAAAAGGAAGAGAGAGAAGGAAGAGCTTCGATTTAATAAATAATCTGTGATTGAGCAAAGACCTGAAATAAACAGTGTATAAATTAGAGTGCAGGTCTGGTTTAGGTGAGCAGTGGGTCCAGTGGTAGACAAAACAGCTATTATACAGGCTCTCAGTTCACAAACCAAACAAGCACGCCTCCCTCACTGTTTCTGCATATGGGGTTACCTTGAAAACATATTCCGTGACTGTGTACATGAGACGCATGCCCACCCTAGGTGTTCAGAAGAAATGGGGACCAGTTTTCAAGAAGTGCTGATATGGGTCAGGTACAGTTTAGTCCAGAGCAGGCTTAGCTGAAGACAGTGTTTTATAACCCTCAGTCACCCTTTTGCTCTTCTGTAGTCCACTTGAATATACTAAATACATGTCTTAGTAATATGCATTTTAAAAATCAACTTTTTAAATCAATCATTTTATTTTTAAAATGAAACATTGCATTATAACCATAAATGGAGAATCAACACTTCTTGCCCCATATAGGAAGTATCTATATAGATAAATGCACAACTACTGAAATAAAATATTTGCCTGCACACCACTAAAAACTTTTTCGTAAACCACCACTAGGGCCTTCTAGTTCTGGAAAGAACTAGAAGGTGGTACCTTCTCTTGCACCTTTATTGTTTTTCCCCAGATGACAGCCCAGAGAAATGGCAAGTAAACCTAGCCTCAAGCCCTCCCCTAGAGGTGGTAAGCAGTTGATATAATAAAGGAAAGTAAGCTATCAGAGCAGCAGGAGGTGAAGGGATTTCGCTGTCTAACCCTAACCCTATCCCTATGTAGTTGTAGGAAGCTGGGTTGGGGACATCTCTACCAGGACAGCCCTTCCTGTTAGAAAAGCCTGAGGGAGGTGACTGGTGGGCAAGGAGGGGCCCACAGTGAGTGCTGCAGAGTCGGAAAGATCACGGAATGGGCAGTCGGAGCACTTGGGTGGAAGGGAGATGTGGATGACTTTCTGCAGAAAGCACCTTCAGTCAAGTAATGCAGGGTGATATTGCTATCCAGTCACTGGAAAAGGGGAAAGCTCTGATTTGGATAGATTATCTGTGTACCTCGTGTGAGAGACACTTTCCTCTCTCTGAGATATCCCACATTAACAGCCTCTCTTGAGAGACATAAACCCCAAGGATTAAGTCTTAGTTCAGTTACATCACTAGTTCTACAAAGTTATTTAATATTTAAACTGATTTAGAATCAGTTTTCTCACCTGGTAAAACAGGCCTTTGCAGTAATGATTTGCATAGGGGTTCATCTTTTTTTTGAGACGGGTCTCCCTAAGTTCAGGCTGGCCTTGAATTAAGTATGTAGTGCAGACTGGTCTTGAAGTCCTGCCTCAGCCTTCCAAATGCTAGAATTACGGGCATGCACCACCATATCCTGCTCTCATTTTGTAATTTTATTTTATTGTTGCAATTTGCAAACAATCCTCTCAAGACCACGTGGATCACCGATACCTCTTACATGTGACAGGTTATAAGGCCTGCTCATGGCTACGTACAGCAGTACCCTTGGCCAACCTGTATCTGTCCTGCTGTCTTCCTCACCCAATTAATGAGCATATGCTTTGGTTGAAGAGCATCATGTTGTGTTTTCCACAAAGAAAGTTATATTTTTCAAGCTTTCTGGGAAAAAAATGTCTTTGTATATTTTACATTGCTGGTACAGTGTAATTTAAAAAGAAAAGAAATTTCTGACCATTCTGAAAGTTGGGGAGTTCAAGATCCCAAGTCCTCATTATTCTTGCAAGGCGAGATAGCAGGAGTGCTCGAGCTCAGGTGTCTTCTTCTAAACCTACAAATCCCATCCTTCCAGCACTGGTACCCACTGCTTCCCAAGAGAGTGGATTCTATGTTAAAACCCCTTCCAGGGATTTGGAATCCTCCTATATTTTGACAGATCCGTTCTCATCACCCACTATGCAAAGAATGTTGCTTGTAAACAAAACTAGAATTGGGAGGTGATAGCAGCTCTCCCCAGCCAAAGTAGGAAGAGGCTTTTCACCACCTGAAACCTCCCCCCAGACCCTACACAAATTTATATCTGAAGAGTTTTCATCCCAGCAATGAGACTAACTGGGCAGCCTCACTCTCTGATCATAGAAAACTAAGAACTATTCATTTTTATAGGAGGGTCCACACTAAGAAAAGACATTTAAGGAGGCATTCATTCCCCTGGAAAGACATCCTAAGGCTTAGAAGAATGTAATTTTAAATTTTTTTAAATTCATTGTTGCTTGGTCCTTGAAAATATGTTGAAAGGGACAATTTAGGAACTTCTATATTACTGATATTGTTTATAACATTATATATATATATATTGCCATGGAAATTTGTGACTGCTTTGGTGCTGTTGACATCCTGTTTGGCAGATGAGAAATTTGTAATGACTTGCCCAAGGTTCACTGTGACTAGATGAACTTCAGAGGTAAACTCCAAAGTTCGTACTGAACCTACTTCCTCTTTAACAATGCCCTATCAAGATTGAACCTTCTAGGGAAGTACAAAACTCAGTTGTTGTTTTGTTAAACTCGTGGTTTCCTGTTGACTAACAGCATTTTTTTTTATCGTTTTATGTTCTTAAGTTACTGGCTTTATTAAGGTCATAAGGTAGTTAGCTAGAGGAACCCTTCTTGCACTGAGGAATACTGTTAAGGAAGGAACTTTGCTGCCCACCTCCCCTTGTAAGGATCATGGCTTATACGCAGCCATGCAAAGTGGATGAAAATAAATAAAGACAGTATAATTAAGGTGCCCTGGTAATAACTGCACATTCTAACTTGGTGAGTTTCAAAAGTTAAGATAGATGTTAATCATCTAGTAGTAGTAAAAAAAAAAAAAAAAAAATCAGAGTCTGGCTAGGCTCAGTGGGGCATATCCCTGATCTCTGTCTGGAAGGCTGAGGAAAGAGAATCAGAAGTTCAAATC